CCCAAGACGAGAAGCTGCATGAAGAAAATAAACGGATTTGACATGATGTCGACGCGAGGCCAGCCGACATGCCCACTGAAGAAGCTCGATGGATGCCGTGAATTTATATCTCCGTCCGGTGACGTCGATGTAGCCGCACGTGGCACCTTCCATCCTTCCCAGCACCGCTTGTAGTGCGCTGGTTGTCCTGAGCAGTCTTCAAAATTTTCCAGCGGTTCAGCGAGGACGAATGTGCAATGCGTCTCCCGGACCGTCGCCGTCGATCCCAAGACGAGAAGCTGCATGAAGAAAATAAACGGATTTGACATGATGCCGACATGAGGCCAGCCGACATGCCTTATGTAGAAGAAAATTTTCCTGCCGGTTTTGCTAGTTTGTATCTTTTCGCCGACTCAGCTAGGCAATATCGAACAACAATTTTCATTCAAAGGACGTCTATAGGATGCACTTGATCAGATGGTGTTTATGGCAAGCTAATGAGATAATGTAACTATAAATTACTTATATATGTATGTAAACTCATTAGGTGAGTTTGGCAGGAGCCAAATTGAATAAATTTGTGAAATTCAATATTCACTGTGGAAGCATGTCAAAATAAAACAGCACAAATGAAATATCATAGCCGTCTGTTCAACATGCGATGAAGTAAAAACGATTAAGGTGCTCACGATATATTGTCTGAAAAAGAAAATCCAATTTCGCTTTTTTTTAGAAAAAAACTCAGTGTTCATTGAAAACCAACTTTGCTGGTCACTCAGTGGACTAAAAGTATACATAAAGTTATATATATATTAGCTAAAGATATGTTAAGTTACTTGGAGGTATAGTTTTTTGAACTCGAGCAATACCTTTTTTTTCAAGTTTGTAACACTGTAAGCTTTTGACGATGTAATGCAAGTGGCAACACGCGTTCGCAACAGCAGCCTTCAGCTCAAGCCCACTGACCTGGGTTGTAGACAGCAAACTTGGCACTGTCTATGAATTATTGGGGTTATCATTCGTGTTTTATTGCCAACAGAGGCAATACAAGCAATGTGGTCAGAGGGTGACAATATCCCAATGAGCCATCCAGCCATCACAGATTTACGATCACAACATGCTACTTTCTTCAGAGGGTCCTGCAAATGAAATAGGTGTTTTGTATATTTATATAACAATAAATTAAATATGCATTTAATAGGCCAGATAGAGCACTGGTGCTGTTCATGCAATCTACTTATAAAAGCTGACCTTTTACAATTGCTTAAATTCAAATGCAGTGCATTTCTTAGTGAACTTCTGTGACTTTGAATCTATATATTATAAAATCGAACAATCTATCTCTCTCTCTCTATCTATCATCCAATCTAGCCGCCTACGACCTTGTGCTCTGTTTAGCATATCATTAATGAGATGTATACCAAAATTGGTATACATACCGTTATACATTCATTGGTACAGTCGCAGCCGTTTTATTATATTAATATATGCCAAATTTGATATGACGAAATATTTTTGTACAAATAACATAAATTATGGGGTGGTAATGGGAAAACCTTGACATGCATGTCACGAATGGGCTCACATACATCTCACATTCATGGTGTGCTTGCGGTTATTTTGCTATAGCTTGGTTTATAGCAAAATTAATATGACCTGAGCATAGGTCAGTAAAACCTATGCAGCTCATTCAGACTGAGACTCATGGCTTGATCTGAGTTTCATTAAGTCGACTTGTGGGTGAGTTCGTCAACCTATGGACGTGACCACATGATGAACATAAAGAGCAGATGGTAACATGGAAATCATGACATGCAATCATGCACCACGCGATTTACATGCCGGGCTCTTGGTGTGCTTGCAGCAATTTCACTAGCTTTATATACAGCAAAATTTGCATCGCATATCGCTGTATGATGAAAATAAATGACATTTCCTAACATGCAAATTATAATATCCTCGTCCTAATTGTACTGCATGGTTTCCTCCTTCCTGGCGGCTTCGCATTATGCAATGATTCCTGTATACTGTGCATGGGATCTGCCTTTTTTTTCTTTTCTAGAAGAGCGTCATGCTTCTTAAGAGCCAAAGAATGTCATAAGACAAAAATATAGTCTAGCTTTATGACGCTATTGTTTATGTTAAAGTAACATGATGCACTGAGAGTGTCAACGAAAGCTACTGTGCGTGCTCCTCACAGAAGTCAACCCTTGAGTGGGGCCATGTGTATGTGTCAGGTTGTTAGAAGGGCGTGTATGAATTGCTGTATGAATATATATATATAACTATGTATATATGCACCTGCAGCAATGTTTTTCTGTGTTTTGCTGTAACAATGCTCCAGAAACAGGCGGGAACTCTGGATTAGTGTACACCGTGAAAATTTACACGTGATTTTGCGGGCACATTTATAAAGTACATGTAGCTATAGTTCAAAGTATGCTGAATGCAAATAAAGTGATATTTTTTATGTGCTGAACCGAATCGCAGCCGGTAATGTGATCTAGAGTCTGCAGTCTACATTTCCTTGGCGGAAACTTTTCGACTGCAGATTCAGCAATTTTCCCTCACACACCGGTGCCATTTTAGATGCCAAGCGTGTTATGGTCGAGTTCAATGCTGTGTGTGGCGTGACCACCCTTGCTGCACATGCGCGTCCCCTCCCCGTCTCTCTTCTCTCCTACACTCCCCCCTCTCTCGACTCGCACCACCGACGCAAGCAGCATCTGATAGCGAGTTCCTTGATGAAAAAAACGACTGCTAGCACTGCACAACCGTTCACTGGCCACCCCGTATTAGGAACTGGATCTTGACCTCCAAGGTAGTGCTGATGATAGATTTCTCTTGTGCGTTGTTGAACAATGAAAATGAGCAGAGTGCGCGTTATACTTAGTTAAAAGTGTACTGAGGGTCTTTGCGTCCAATAAGAGTCTTGCGTCTTTCAACCATTAGCAGTAAATGGCCTGTTACAGTAAGAAACGCCAGTCCATCACTGCGTGCTTAGCGCCTCGTCCCCAGGTTGATCTCCTGAGCAACGCTGCGATAAGAGCCAGCGTACAAAGCGCCGCCTGTGTAAGCGTTAGGGCCCGCTGCTTCACACTTATGCATGGTTCCCTTTAGTGGCAGAGCAATTTTTCTTCCGCCATCAGTTCGTCTATCGGCGCAGATCGCAGACTGCGCAGCTCGTAAGCAGGAACCGTGCATTAGGAATAAGTCCTGCATGCCTGACCAAATGCATCGCGTACCACGAGATTTTAAATATTTATTCCTCATCTGCAGCAGTTACCCTAAACAGCACTGCACGCGCAATCAAAGCAACGCCTCGTCATACAATCTATAGAACTCTGTGACAGCTAAGACATCATGTGCAAAGCTGGCACGTGGCTAAGTTACTCAAGTACTGATGCGAATTCAACTTGCGATCAACCAGCTATAGTTACCAAAGTGAGCAATTAAAGAAATATAACAGCTATTATCACATCGGGAATTGCCTCTCACTCACATAATAACCTTACAAATGTGAGCAGCTTTAATACACCAACAGGTGGGTACGATGAATTAGGCACATATCCTTTGATTGCTGCACATCATTTATTTATAGGCTTTACCGCAATGCATTCGCAATGCAGTGAAATTTGAGCTTCTTTTAGTGATTGTTCTTTTGTCTGTTTGAAAACGACATGCCAAGATGCATATTTGGCCAGAGCAGTCAAAAATGCTTATATTTGTTTGATTCACAAGTGGCCTGTGCATGCAGTAATTTCGTATCATGTAATGCTCTTCTGCTCACGCTGGATTTGCCGCAGTGCTTTTGCAATGCAGTGAAGCTTAATAATCTTTCAGTAATTGTCCCTTTATCTGCCTGAAACGGACGTGCCAACATGCATATTTGGCATGAGCAGTCGCAAATGCTTATATTGGTTTGATGCACAAGTGGCCTGTGCATGCATTCATTTCGTATCAAGTAATGCTCTTCTGCTCACGCTGAATTTGCCGCAATGCTTTTGCAATGCAGTGAAGCTTGACCATATTTTATTACTTGTCTTTTTATCTGCCTGAAACGGACGTGCCAAGATGCATATTTGGCCCGAGCAGTCGCAAATCTTTATATTTGTTTGATGCACAAGTGGCCTGTGCATGCATTCATTTTATTAAATCTTCGTCTAAACAGGGGCGAGACCGGCAGGCAGCACACGGCAGGCAGCACAAGTGCAACACTTGGTTATTCGGTCACACAACCAACTGTTTTTCAACCAGGAAGGAAAAGGGGCGGTTGCTTATATACATGATCGAGCCACTATCACACCGAGCATTGACGTCACGAAGCCCAACAGTCCAAGTCCGGGTCACCGCTGATAGCGAAGCGCGTCTGCGTCAGCCCCCCTATGCACAAACACGATAACACAACACTCCTCTCCCCTCACGGGGTTTCAACGGCACGTAACTGTCTGGCGGTTGCCTAAACCGGGTAGAACGTCGAAGCTGCGGTGTTCATTGTCCCGAGTAATCGCCGTTCTGGAGACCACTGTCGAGCGTCGGCCTGCTGTCGTGTAGAAGGCTCGGTAGAAGGCCCTGCCTATTCAGCTGCTGGTGACGTCAAGTTTGATGCTGGTTGGTCCTAAGCGTTTAGTCGAGTAGGCGTGCTGGTCGAGGTGGGCTCTCGAGTGTCCCTGAAGAGCGGATCCTTGTTTTCTACTCTCGGCCCGTCCAGCACTGTTCCCGCCGCCTTGAGCCAGCTCCGGTTCTTCTGAAATGTACAGCAGTCGCAGGTTATCAGCGTGAACGTATCGGTCCTTGTCTCCGACGCGAACAATGTACGTGCATGCGCTGCACCGCTGAGCAATTGTACCCAACAGCCATTTGTCGTCGTCCGGGCGGAGCCCTTTTACTAAAACCTTGTCGCCTTCCCTAAAGTCTCACCATGACCCTCGTTTCTGGTCTGCGTGGAGCTTCGCCTGTTCCCCCCTTTCGCGCATGCGCTGTTCCATTTCAGGGTGCAGCAGACTCAGCCTGGTTTTTGGCTACCACGACAAGATCTGGGCCGGGGTCTCACCAGTGGTGCTGGACGGGGTGTTGCGATAACTAAAGAGAAATTGGTCTATGCGATGTTGTATAGACTTCTTGTCTCCTTTTCTTTCTTCGTCTAGTACCTGTTTAAACAAGTCTTTCTTGACGGTCTGAACGCACCGTTTGGCGCTATCCTTTGAAGCTGGGCGATAGGGAGGAGATTTGGAATGACGAATTCCATTCCTGCTCAGGAATGTTCCGAAGTGCTGCGACGTGAATTGGGGCCCGTTGTCGGTCACAATCTCCTCTGGTAGTCCGTAGGCCGCAAAAACACCTCGTGATTTCTCTGCCGTCTTTTCACTTGTTGTTGTTGTCATGACAAACACCTCAACCCACTTCGAATGAGCGTCCATTAGGACCAAAAAGTAATGCTGGCCCTTTGCGCAAAATCTAGATGAACTCGCTGCCATCTACGCGTTGGCCAGCCCCATGACATTAGTGGCACTCTGGCTGCCGCATTCTGGGACAACTGACAAGTGATGCACTCTTTCACCACTTGCTCTATGTCTAGCGTTAAGCGAGGCCACCAGACATGACTCCTTGACAGCATTTTCATTCGAGTCATCCCTGGGGGACCTTCGTGCAGCATTTCTAGAACATTCTGTCGCAACGAAGCTGGTATAACCACGCGATTGCCCTATGTTACGCACTCTTGGTCTACCGACTGTTCGTTACGGCGAACAAAGTATGGTGAAAAATTGTCGTCCGACACATGCGCAGGCCACCCGTTCTGCGTAAAAAACAACACTTTGGACAGCAATCGATCTTTACGCGTTTCCGATCCAATTTTCTTTGCCGACAATGGAGCCTCGTCTAGCACCGAAAAGAAATAAACTCCCCCCGAGTCCTCTGCTTTGTCTCGGAGCGGTAGCCGTGAAAGGGCATCGGCATTTTGGATTTCGCTTGCCTTTTGATAGACCCATCGGTAGTCATACGCTTCAAGGATTAAGGCCCACCGCTGTATCCGTGCTGCCATTGTAGGGATTGGCTTGCCATGCCGTCAAATTCCAACCAGGGGTTGGTGATCTGAATAAACGGAAAATTTTCAACCAAACAAAAATTTGTGGAACTTCTTCAGACCGAAAATAACTGCAGGAGCCTCTTTCTCCAGGTGGGCGTAGCCCTTCTCTGTCTGACTTAGTGTCCTCGATGCGAACGCTATCGGTCTTTCGACAACCACGATTTTATGGAATAAAATCGCCCCTAGTCCATATGCCGAGGCATCGCATACCATACCCACTTCCCGATCCAGATTGTAGTATGTTAGTACTCTGCGATGCATAAGCCATTCCTTAGATCTCTTAAATGTATCCGCCACCCTGTCCGTTCATTGCCACTTAACATTTTCGCCCAACATCTCGTACAATGGTTTCAGCTCTACTCACATGTTCGGAACGAACTTGGCATAAAAATTGAGCATGCCCAAATATGCTCGAAGCTCCTGTTTGTTCTTGGGTGTCGGCGCGTCTTTGATAGCGCGCATCTTATCCTAAGATGGCCGCATGTCATTTTTGTCCAGCACGTGACCCAAATACGCCACTGAAGTTTCGAAAAACTTCCACTTTTCTTTGCGCAATTTAATGCCTCGTTTATTGAACCTTGTCATCACGCTTTCCACCTTTCTTCAACACTCCTCAAAACTTTCCCCGGCAATCAACACATCATCCAAGTAGCAGGTGACTTTATCTAGGCCTCCTAGAACATCGTCCATGACTGCCTGGAATATCGAGGGTGCACTGGTTATCCCATACGGTAGGCGCGTAAACTTAAACAGCCCCATGTGCGTATTTATCGTGAGCAAAGACTGCAAGTCAGGGTGAAACTGCAGCTGCCGATACGCGGTTGAAAGGTCAAGCACAGTGAAATATTTGCACCCATGCAAGGCTACAAACAAATCTTCCATGACTGGCAGCGGATAATGATCGGTGCGCAAGCGGGGGTTCACCGTCATTCTGTAGTCTCCGCAAATCTTGACCGTTTTGTCTCCTTTTGGAACCACCACAAGTGGCGTGCCCCAGTCACTCTTTAGGATGGGAACAATCACCCCTGCGTTCTGCCAGGCCCTCAATCGTTGAAAAACGGGATCTCGGAGTGCGATGGGCACCGGTCGAGGTTTACAAGAGACCGGTGTTGTGCCATCCTTGAGCAACAAACTTACTTGATAATCCATTATCTGTCCGAGCTCTGGTTCAAACACTTACGAGAACCTTTCAAGAAAGCTAGCTACTCGATCGATCCCCACCCCACTCACACTCAACTAATCCAGTTTAAGAGATTCCAACCAGTGTCGCCCTAGCAACGCAGTCTCACTCTTTTGCAACGTACGGGCCACGATCAGAGGCAGCGTCGCTGTCTGGTTGTTGTGCTCTACCGGCATCATAAGCTTGCCCAGAACCGCTGACAGCGTTTCCCCATAGGCTTTTAGCTTTATTCTACACGGCAACAACGGTCGCCCGGCCCAGTGTTGCTGATAGAGAGTCTCGGGGAGGATAGAAACAGATGCACCCGTATCTATCTGCATCGGCACATTACGAACCCCGACCCGTACGTTTACAGTATAGCTTCGGGCACTTTCGTCACACGAAAATAAATTCTGTAGCAAAATATTGTCCTCACCACTACTGTCCTCCGCATAGTGCGCTGCGTTGGCGGACGATCGGCACGCTCTTGCCAAGTGGCCCACTCGTTTGCAGGCGCGGTAGCGGTATTTCCTGAACGGGCACCTTTCATCGGTGTGGGAGGTGGCTCCGCAGTGGTAGCAAGCTCAACCGGTTGTTTCTTTCGTTGCTCTAGTTTCCATGTAGTCTCCACGCGGCTGTCCCAACCTTGAACTCGAAGCTTGTCGTTGTACGGCGCGGACACCCAGTTCTTGCCCCTCCGGCTAGAATTTCTTCGTCTCGGAACAGGCTAGTTCAATACTTTGGGCTAGTTCACACGCCTCTGCAAACGTCAGTGTGGCCCTCTTCAGAAGCTCTGCTTGCGTTGTCTCGTCTTTCAGCCCGGCAACGAAACGGTCCCACAAAGCTTCATCCAAAAATGCCACGAAATCGCAGGAGGCAGCCAGACTCATCAATTCCAACGCAAAGCCCGCCACCGGTTCTGTGTCCTGCTGAATCCGGCGGTTAAATTGGAAACGTTCCGCTATGACCATGGGTTCCGGAGCATAATGCTTCTTGAGGGCTTGAATTAGTTGCGCATATTCTTTCTCCTCGGGCTTCGCGGGAGCTAGTAGATTTTTAAGCGTGCAATAGGTTTTCTTCTCAATAGCGGTAACCAGCACCAAAACTTTGAGGTCGTCGCTCACCTGGGTCGCCCGAAGAAAGTGCTCGAACCACTCGATGTATGATTCGAAATCCTCGTCTCTGTCCTCGAAGAAGGGTTCGAACTTGCCAGTCGCTGCCATGTTGAAGTCTTCCGCTCCCGAAAGTGCCTGGCGTCTGTCGGCAATTAAGATTCAGACGGATCCCATCCTCGTCGCCACTATTATATCATCGTCGAAACAGGGGCGAGACCGGCAGGCAGCATACCGTGGCTAAGTGCAACACATGCTTATTCGGTCACACAACCAACTGTTTTTCAACCAGGAAGAAAAAGGGGCGGTGGCTTATATACAAGATCAAGCCACTATCACACCGAGCATTTACGTCACGAAGCCCAACAGTCCAAGTCCGAGTCACCGCTGATAGCGAAGCGCGTCTGCGTCAGCCCCCCTATGCACCAACACGATAAAACAACACATTTCGTATCATGTTCGTATTATGTAATGCTCTTCTGCTCACCCTGGCTTTATCGCAGTGCTTTCGCGATGCAGTGAAGCTTACTCATCTTTTAATAATTGTCTTTTTGTCTCCCTAAAATGGACGTGCCAAGATGCATATTTGGCATGAGCAGTCGCAAATGCTTAAATTTGTTTGATGCACAAGTGGCCTGTGCATGCATTCATTTCGTAACATGCAATGCTCTTCTGCCAACATTGGCTTTACCGCGGTTGTTTCACAATGCAGTGAAGCTTGACCACACTTGCTTTTATGTGCATTGCGACTTATCGAAGTTTTGTAATAGCTCAACTGTTGACGCTAGAAGTGATGCATTCTATGTGAAAGTTTGATACTTGACTTCGGGGATTCCCGTTTTATAAAGTTTTTAAATATATCAGTAAAGTCGAATTGGAAATTATGCATTCTTAGAAAACGGCCACGAACACGGTGAAAACACGAGATGAGAAAGACTCAGTACTTCGCTTTTGTCTTGTGCCTCCGTCGTTTTCACGTGCATTTTCAAAGTATCTATCAAAATGCTGACAACGCTGTTTCACTGCCAACAACCTTCAGTGTGCAAGAAAGGGAGCTAAAGTTTCTCTCAGCCTGTAAACGAAGCATTCGCGGTTACCTAATGTGAGATAAATAAAAGTCCGAAATTAAGAATGACCAGCTGATATTGATAACAGGTGCTTATAGCAGCACTTTTTTTTTTTTGCTGTGGACTTGAATTCCTGTCTTGTGTAAGCTTATGGTCTGTGAATACACAATGACACTACTACAACCAAGAAAAATTTTACTAAAATTTATTTGTAAAATAACTGCTACAAAATAGAATTCTGATCCCCTTCTTAGTAATGCATGATTTAGCTGGAAGAAGACAGCATCATAAAACGTCCTGACGACTTGACAACAGGGTGAAACCACAATGTACTGGACCTGTACGAGATGAGGAAAAACGACGAAAAAAACAAGAGATAAATCAAAACGTATAAAAAATGGATCCTGAAACTTTCAACTTACCCACCAGAGCAGTGAAATGAATCCTGCACAACCACTTCAACATAATTTCTTCCAAATATATCACCTTCTCTAGATCCCGGATATCGCGTAATAAACACGATAAAATGTTAACTGAATACTTTTGCAACTCCAACACGTTTAAATACTCATTTTTTCCTACAGCAGTTAGGGAGTGGAACAACCTCGACCCAACAGTAGCTGCCATAGAATCATCATCAATATTTTGTGACGCGATAGGAAATAAGCCCCAACCATGAAAAGGGAAAGGAAAAGGTTTCATATTCATGCAAATTCTTTTTTTAATGGCTTCTTTGTGTTCCATTGGATTGTATTAACCTTGATTCTTCCGTTGTATATACTAATGTTGTATTAGAGAGAACACTTCTTTGTATGACATGCCATTGTACTGTGCACTGCGTGTATTCTGTTGCACTCACGTTGTTATCTGTATGCCCACCTGCTTTGGTCTCCAAGTGAGACTGGCAGTATTGAAAATAAATAAATAAATAAATATGTATTTTCTGCCTGTTGGTCCGTGGGTACAAAAGCCAGTCTTGTTTGTTGAAGCTACTAAGCATCACTTCATTGCAAGACTTTTCTCTATCCGCCACCCGAGAACTCGCTCTGTAGCGGTCAGGCTCCGCCTAGAGACTTCTGGCAGTGTGACGTTATAGTGCACAATATATACACAGAATTTGGTTGCTTATTTTTAGCAAACTCATTATGAGCAAATTTCATTATTGAATTCATAAAATATTTGAAATGTAATATAACATCAAAATGCTGAAGCTTTAGAACATTACAAACTCAACCTGCCCACATTACCAATTCCAGTTCCACAGACATGCAAGAACTGCTTGCAGAATCATGAATCAACTAAACCATTTTGATATATTGACAGCTTTTAAAAAAGAGAATTTTTAAAATCTTATAGTCATATTTTTCTCCTAAAGGGCAAGTTACTGTTGCTCAAAAGAAAAAAAACCACATCATATACATTATCTGATACTCTTTTTTGGCAGTTTACAGCTGCCAAGGAAAAAGGCTGCATGCATCAGTGTTTGTTGTGTGCCATTTATGGTATTATTTTCGAAGTCTTTATTTAGTTGACATTTAGTGATCAGCCTATGAATTTTCTTCTGTTTGTTTTAAATTTTTCATACCTTGTATTGGATATGAATATCTTTTAGTCCGAGAAAATTTGCTTAACAAAGGAAAGTTTTTCTACTTGTGGCGAAAAAAAACAGAACAAAACAAGAACTAGTCCTAGAACTTTTAGAATAGACAGGTTTGACGTGATGAGAAGTCAATAAAAAGGAATGCCACAGAAAGGATTGCCTCAACAAAGGAATTTGGTTCGTCGGGGTAACATATATTTGGCAATGTTTTGATGTACGCCTAGTTAACCCTCCACCACTTACAACAAGGGAGAAAAATAAGGTGGTGCATGCAGAAAGTTAACTCATCACATAACGCGAAAATTTGACTAAGGACAAAACAAGGAACAAAGACGAGTGCTCACTTCCAACAAGATTTATCTTGAAGAGCAAACACATATATACTCTTGAAATGCAAAAAACAGACAAATCATTCAAACAGCCCACAACTACCATGCACGAAAACCTTACATCCTCAGGAAAAACAATTTGTTTTGACAAATCTTTAGAAAGAGAGTGAAAGTACGTGCTGACGCAGCTCAGCTCTAGTCTACAAACCCTTTTCGCCACAAGAATTTTTCTTGCAGTTTTTTTTTCAATGATAATGGTGTCACACAAAAGTGGCTTGGAGCCACACCTTCTGCAGTGCAAGGCAAAGAAAAGATTTCGACAATTCTTGAGGTTACAAGCGCGTTGATTGCAGCACGTGTGACTGTAAACTGCTTTTGCACGACACAATTATCACTGGAAGAAAAAACAACAATTACAATGACAAGAGAAATTACCGAGGCAAAGAAGATTTGTAGACTAGAGCTGAACTGCGTCAGCACTCTGTCTCTCTCGAGCTTTGTCAAAACGAATTGTCTTTCTTGAGAATGTAAGATTTTTGCGCATGGCAGTTGTGGGCTTTTTGAATGATTTGCCTGATTTTCACATTTCTGGAGTATATATGTGTTTGCTCTTCAAGATAAATCTTCTTGGAAGTGAGCACTTGTCTTTGTTCCTTCTCTTGTCATGGGTCAAATTTTTGTGCAGCGTGATCAGTTATGCATTATCAACATGCCTAACTTAATACTTTCGATCCCTGAAGACACTCCTTAAAGGGTCACTCACCAGGTCCCATAACAAATTTTAGTTAGACTGTGGGTGCTGTTGTGTGTCCGACGAAGAGCATTATACCACAAAAAGTTTTTCAATCAGTTCATTACTAGCTCAGAAAACTGTTTCTTTTT